AAAAAAAAAAAAAAAAAGAGACTACCATGAATAACTGTATGCCAACAAACTGGATACTCTAGAGGAAATGCACAAATTTCTAGAAATATGCAAACTACCAAACTGATATAAGAAGAAACAAAGAATCTGAATGGACTATACCAAGTAAGCAGTATCCAAAAATCTCCCATAAAGAAAAGGCCAGGACTGGATAGCTTCACTGGTGAATTCTACCAGGCACTTAATGAATTAACACCAATCCTTCTCAAACTTGTCCAAAAAATTGAAGAGGAGGGGCATTTCCTAATTCTTTCTAGGAGGCCAACATTACCCTGATTCCAAAGCCAGACAATGACATACAAGAAAAACAAACAGTATCTTTAAAATTAGATGTAAAAATCTTCAACACAGCAATAGCAACCAAATTAATATTAAAAGGATCATATATCGTGCTTGCTTCAGCAGCACATATACTAAAAAAAGGATCATATACTGTGACCAGGGGAGATTTCTCTTGGAATTTACGGGTGGCTCAATGTAGGAAAAAACACACCATATTAACAGACTGAAGGAAAAATCCTACCTATTCTCAATAAATGCATAAAAAGCATTTGCCAAAACTGACACCATTTCATGACAAAAACACTAAATTACTAGTAATAGAAGGTATTTCCTCAACAGGATAAAGGCCATATACGAAAAAACTGTAATAAATATCATACTTAATTGTGAAGGACTAAAAGCTTTTCCCCTAAGATCAGAAACAGGAGAAGGATCCGACTTTTGCCATTTCCATTCAACACAGCCGTAGAAGTTCCAGTCCAAGCGCTATGGGGAGAAAACAGCCATTCTGAGCTGCTGCTCAGGCATCTGACAAGCAGGACAAGGCTGCTCACACGGAGTCTCGAAATGCAGATAAGAACCTGAGCTTAGGATGCCCGCCCAAGTTCCCACTTTGTCTTTCCCTGGCACCTTCTAAAATAACCACTTAGGGAGTGCCTGACTGGCTCAGTCATAGAGCACGTGACTCTTAAATCTCAGGCTTGTGAATTCAAGCCCCACACTGGGCATGGAGCCTCCTTCAAAAAATAAGTAAATTAAATTTTTTTTTTTTTTTTTTTTTTTTTT